TGGCTTTTCCGGTTTTTAGTCTCGTCAAAAAGCTGACATTCTGCTCTATTCAATGGTACCAAATCATCTCTGTAAGTTGATTTATGCATTCACGACAGATCGCGAAAGGGTGGGGGGTGGTGGAGTTCTTTCACATTTAGGATAGGTGAAAATTCCCGGTGGCATACTTAAATAGCTAGTCCACATACGATGTGCTTCAGTTACCCACCTGCAGTTGTACGATAGGGTTTACGTGTCGTCGTTCACACCATCCTTGACAGGAATTGAGCTCCAGTATCGCCTAGTCTTGCATTCTTGCCACCTTGAACGCTTATTTCGAGGCGCCCGGGACTTTGTCAGGCTCTACTGAACAATTAACTTATTGTCACTGCAAACCTATCTCCTCCTACAGTTTTGAAGCTACAGCAATGAGACATATACCATTTGATTCGCAATTGAAATATCTAGAGATTCTTTGTAGCTTTTTTTCAATTTCTTTATAGTTTTGAAAATATTTTGAAAAAAGGAAAGGGAAATTGGGGAAAATCTAAAAATTTTCGAAAATTTTGGGAAAAATGCTCCCACATCCACAAAAATTCGAAATTAAAAAAAAAGCAACAACGAATCGATAGATATTTTGATTGCGAATCAAATGGTACATATCTCATTGCTGTAACTTCAATAATCTAGAAGGAGATAGATTTCTACAGTACCCCCTTATATGGCCGTTTTCTAAGAATTTCACATTTTCTTTCATTTTTTTCGAAAAATGTACATGAATAAAAGCTGTCTATTTTTCTGTGTTACACATGTGTACCAAGTTTCAGAGTGATCCGTCTGTAAACAGCCGAGATAAAATTTTGCCCAGACGCTCCCCTTAACCCATTAATGATGAGAATTATTTACTGAATTTTTTGGGGGTTCCTTGTGAGAATATTATCATTTGTGATGGTAATAAACAAAGAATATGCTCATATATTTATTTTTTGTTGTATGTGAAAAAATATAGCTTGGTTCCATATGGAACCGCTCGGCATTAACATAACGTTTCTTCAAACAACACTTTTTCCGATAGTAAATCAAGCAAGGTTGTTCATAATGGATAATATGTAATATACGTATTCATAATGGACAATACTGATGATGAACCAATCATGGCAGAATACAATTTAATTTTTAGCGTTGAATGCTTCCATTCATCAAAATGAACAGGAAGGTTGACCATTTTACGAATGTTTGTGGGTGCGTTGTCAACATTGTTTACGAAGCACTGCATTTGCAGTGCTTCTGAAGTCTCTTTGTTAGCCGATGTTGTATCTCTTTATCGATAAAATTCTGCATCTAACTTATAAATAATATATTCTTAGAACGAACTATTTACCTTTCTCTGCAATGATGTCAAGCCCTTCTGTCTGACACCCGGTACTTACAATCTTTTAATGTTAACTGAGCAGAGAGTAGTCGGTGCAGCAGAACCAAACGTTGCCAGAACATGGACAAGATGTGTATCAAACCTATGCATCCACTAGTATATTGATTTGACCATACAATTTAATTATGAATCCATTTTTTTCTGCTGGTTCCAAATGGAACCGCTCGGCATTAATGGGTTATGTAAATTTTGGCATATTGGGCAGAATTTTTCTTAAATCAGTGTAAAAATGATTGTTTCACATAAGTTTCAAGTCAAATTCAAGTCTGGAAATGAATGAAACAATATCAGTTTTAATTAAGCCCATTTGTTTATCTAAAAATCTCTTTTGTTTACTGTCTCTGCTGCATTTTGCCTTTAAGGTAAACCTATGGCTTTACCTTAATTCTATATCCACAGCTCAAATGCAATTTGATAAAAGGTACCTACACGCCACTACAATAGGCTGTATTTATAACTCTTGTACATTGCTATTGTGTTGACTGATGACCACTGAGTATTGATATGTTGTCTTCCTTCAACTCTTAACTTTAATCTTACGATCAAAACTGCACTGTTGGCTCATATATTTTATATATGTATGTTCATTATCCAGCTTCAAGATGTCAAGTCTGAAGGAAGTGTTGCCACGCAAAGGTCTATTGTACCAAGAAGAAAGCAGCCAGCTGGCTCTGTGTCGTCCAAAGCTAATGCCTCTCAAGTCTGTCACTCTTGAGAAGCTGGAGGCCATGCAGCAGCAGTTGCAGGAGCGCACAAAAGAGCAGTTGCAAATGCAAGAACCGCCAAGCCAGCAGCCATGAAGTGTACATAGATATTCATCAGTGATAGAGAGCCATTGGGAAAATTTATATTCATTAGTTAATTTTAACATTGGTTTGAGCTCAGACAAATAAGTGTTGAAGCATTAATTGATAGAAACAGTGATAAAAGCATTAATTTTTATACCTGTAAAAACTGTTTGAAAAGTACGGTATCTATTGGACCAACGTGAATGCAGTTTGGCAATTTGTGCCCGTTTATTGTACACGCTTTGCTTCAAGCGTAGACAATTATGACAACTAGCTTGGTGTTAGCCACTTACAAAACCAAATTAAGCTGGTGCAGCATAAACAGCAACAAAGACAACTGCACATATTTATATACAAATGCTCCCAAGTTGAGAAGAGAGGCTGTTGAAAAACTGCATAGCATTAAAGGAAGTGAATGGCTGCTTGTCTGTACCTGATTACTGCAGATGAGAAACATTTGTATGCTAATATTGTGTGTTTTATAGCAATATGTGCTCTAAGCCTGCTTTGATGAACCTCTATAAAATCAAGCTTTGAAGTGACAAGTAAGTTCAAATTCTATGCTGCTATTATCTTGCAAATTTTCATCTGGAAGCACCCACTGCACAGGTCCATTGATGCACTAGCCACAATGTATGCAATTAATCTTCAATTTTCACAACTATAGAAATCCCTATCACAATTCTTTCTGACTATCACAGGCTCATTTCTGAAGTTAATCCTGAATACAGCAATACCTTGATTAATGCGGTTAATAAATCCCCGAGTTTTACCGTGTTAAGCAAAACCGCGCTAATCAAACTTAAGAATATATGGGAATAATTATAATGAATCCTCAAAAATAGCAAAGTTACAGAATAATTTTTTTTCCACTAAAATTCATCATATTTTTTTTCTAAATAATAAGGGAAATAAATAAAAGAAATGCGAATGAATCCTCCAAAGCAAATCCTCCATTTCGATCATTATACGAGTCCTATTTCTAGTGCATTGCACGCTCGATGACGTAGAAGCAATTTTGCCTTTCTCTTGATACTCGGACGATTTTTTCAAAATTGTGCATATTGTTGACTCGGGAAACCCTAGGTCTTCACCGATCTTTGTTTTCGTTTCACCATTATCAAAAAGCTTAATTATTTCAAGCTTAGTCTCCAAAGTGATATTTTTACGTTTAAGTGTTCCCTTTTTGTCCATAATTACGACGGTAATTTATCAAGGAAAATTATGTAGTTTGATAAAAATGAGCAGTAGATATGGCAGCGATCTTGACCAGTTGAAGGCTAATGAGTAACTAGAGCACCGGCATGGCGCACTTACCGGCAAACATTGCCGAACTCGACCATTCGAGTTATGAATGAGACAAGGCGCGGTTAAACCGACTCAGTAGTCAGCACGAGTGCCTACGGAACAGGACCTTATTTAAAGAATTATTGGCTGAAATTCATAAAGTAACAACATTTGGCAAATTTTTCCAAAAGTTGTAACATAAGTAACAACATAAGATCTAATAAGCAAAAAGTAACATGTTGCGTTGTGTTACGTTGTGTGTGTTGCGTTAATGATGCATTGTGAAAAAAAAAGTTGCGCTAATCAAAACTGGCACCGCGTAGATTAAGGGTAGGTTGCAAATTTTTTTTCCGCGTTAATCAAAACCGCGGTATTCAAAACCGTGCTAATCAAGGGATTGCTGTACACCCACTGAAATTTTTATGGGAGAATTATGAAATGAACTTGACATTAATATCTTGTTAGGAGAGATCTCTCCATCTAGAGAAGATAGCAAGATTCTCCTCAGCTATTTCTGACAGCTGTGATGATGGAAACGAATTATTTACATACAATATTCTTTTAACTTATTATCATGCATTGTTTTCTTGAAAGGGTATGCTGGATACCTTGCTACCTTGTTTGGCATTTTATTTAAAAACTTCAAAGCTATCTGCAATTTGTGTGGAAGTGTTCTTGTGGGTGTTATGAAAAGGGCTTAGCATGCTGTTACTAAGAATATATCTATACATACAATTGAAAATAGATTATTTGTTCCATTTTCCCAAGCTATTGCAAGTTTTTTTACACAAATTAATTTCCTTCTTATCATTTATTATAGATGATTCATCACAGTGTTGTATGAACTGTGGTTTATATTTGTGAATTTGCCTGAATAACATTCATAATTTTAGTATTAAAATATTTATTTCAGTTTGAAGTTAACTTATGTGTGTACCAATTTCATTGCCCATAGAAAGAAAATTTTTGGTAAAATCAGGCCAAAAATGTATAAAAATGGACAAGAACAAGCTCAATGAAATAAGACAGTATATACAGTGGGGGGAAATAAATATTCGTACACTTGAAAAATTGTATTTTAATGTATGTAAGTACACAAACTTAACAGGAAAAGTGATTTGAATTATGTATAGAGACGCATAAGTATTCAAAAATACTATCAAAAGAAATTAAATCTCAATGCAACAAAAAACAATGCAACATGTTCACTTTTCGGGTGAAAAAAGTATTCGTACAAAACAATAAATCCGCATTATTTTAATTTAATACTTGGTTGAATACCTTTTATTCAGCTCAACAGATACCCTGTCTCTTATACACATCTAGATGTGTATAAGAGACAGCTTCCCAATGATGATCATGTCACTCCATCAGATCATGGGCCATATGGACGTCATTGGGATCATTGCTGATGGCTTCAACGTGTACTTCCTTATGATGATCATGTCACTCCATCAGATCATGGGCCATATGGACGTCATTGGGATCATTGCTGATGGCTTCAACGTGTACTTCCCAATGATAATCATGTCCCTCCATCAGATCATGGGCCACATGGACGTCATTGGGATCATCGCTGATGGCTTCAACGTGTACTTCCCAATGATGATCGTAGCGCTGTGCCTCGCCACCTACTACAGCCTGGGGTCGCGGCTTCTGTCTGCCCTCGGCTTCCAGCAGTTCATTGGATCCGACAGCCTCACCACTGACCTGGTCGACGAGGGACGTACCCTCATCAACAGAGGTGAGGGGAAAGAAGGTGTCCTGTATTTTATTACAAATCATTAAAGATTGAAAGCAACTACAGCAATATTCTCAATGTGAACATTTGCTTCGAAATGAAGTCCAAAGATTTTAGGATGGGCGATTTCCCATTAACCGGAGTGACAGGAAATTCCATTAAAGGTGAGGATAAATCTAGCGATGTGACCATGCGTCCCCATTGACAGGAAGGCTTAATTGGTAAATATTTCTTCTATGAATCAATATTTCTCTTTGCCTTCTAATGGCGACTTCGCCTCCGCTACCACCTACCAGAGATATTACTTATGAGAGTTTCGCCTGTTACTGTGATAAGACTGATTATTGTTACCAACGTCTCAGGATTTTATGATTTATTGATTGACTATAATTTTACTGGCCGTTCCAAGCTTTTGTGGTTCGTTCCAGAATGTCGACGACGTCAAAGACAGCAAGAATCTGTAGCCCGACGGCGAGAATTTACGCAGCGCTTTGGCGTAGGAGAGAACACAAGTAGTCTGTACAGGTGAGATAACAGCAGCTTGCAGTGCACCCGCAGCTTATCCTGACTTAATTATCTTAATATAAATTGAAATATGTTTAATCTATCTAATTAATGTATTCAATTCGTTATGTGAGGTCGTTGTTCACAAGGTCTGCCCGCCAGCGAGCCGAGGAGCTCCTGAACCGCCCCTCCCGACAGACAGGCGCACACGAGGCCGCACAGATGGAGCTGCTCACCTCGACGACAAATGCCCTCAACTCCTCAGACTCGCCCTCTCATCTCCCCCATGGGGCTTCGTCGCGTGACTCCCCCTCTCGCCTCCCTCCCAACCGTGAGCCCCGCTTCCCCTACTCGAATGCTACCCACTACAGCCGCGCCTCAGCTGATCCAAGGGCTACATTTAATCCAAGATTGTCGCCTAAATGCCGCACAGTTGCCGAACAGATCATTGAACAAAGAATGGCCCCAGTCAATACAAATTTATGACCAAAAAAAGAATTGATCCAATTGAGTGGCTAGAGGCTTAAGAGACCGACCACGACTTTGTTTACTAAAAGATGGTCTTAGTTGCTCGTTTTTGTTTTTGGAATTGAATTCCTTCCTGTGTTGACGAGGCTACATTAGTTTCAACCTTCTGCTGATTGCTAGAAGGGAAACATTAAATTAAAACTGGACTAAAACTGAAATGAACTCCATGACTGTAGTTTTTCCAGTGTTCAGTACAGAGGCGTTCACGAAAGTGGCGTTTGAAGTACGAAAGTTCGATAATATTATTACGTTTCAGCAACTTTTGACTCCTAAAGTCTGAAAACGCAAGAGTGACCAAACTTTTGAACATCTTGGGTTCTGTATTGTGAGATATTTGCTTTACGGTAGACTTGATTTGCTATATATATCATGAGGTATCTTACATGCCGGCTGCTGCAGCTGCAATATATTATGAGGTATCTTGAATGCCGGCCGTTGCAATATATCATTATCATTAGATATTTCAATGTTTGCGGGCTGCATTTAAAAAGATGTATCTATTACAGACGACTATGGCCACTACAGCTCACCTGGGTTGGCCCACTACACCAGCAGCGGCCAGTGGGGTTCAGCAGACGTGTCGCCTGACGGGTACGGGGAGAGCCAGTTCAACAGGCCGCGACCTACCAACAAGGCGGACAAGGGGCTCTTCGACGACATCTAACTCTTACATCATTAATTCCACTACGTGGTGCAATATATTTTCAGACCTTAAACAGGGTGAAAAGCAGACAAGATACCTTGAACTTTAGTCATTCTTTCAGAACAGTCGAAAACGGTCATGCCCCGTTTAAGGTTTTCTGCATTAATGCCATATTGATTCTTTTCTTAGAAATTGGGGATGAAATCTGAGGATGCCTCTATGTTGAAGATTGCATTTGAAATCGCTGCAGGTTATTGTTGTGTTACACCAATTTTATTTATTACCTATTTGTTTTTTTGTTTCATGTTCGTTTTAGATATTTATTTCGTTATGTTAGTAATTGTTCCAAACTTATTATCGTCAAGTTTACGTGAATTGCCTCTTAATGGTTTGAATTTAGAAGGGTTTGTTGTGCATCGTTATCAGCTGTTGTGATATCAGCTCCTATGACACAAACAGCTGCTATAATCGCAACAGCTGCCAACGTAGTTGGCCAACGTAGTTGTTTACATATTCTCCTCGCTGCGGTTCCCTAATCTTCGTTAAGAGGTAGTTTTGGCTTGTGTGGGATGCCCACATTCCAGGCATTGTTGCACAACATTTATTTGTGTGGTTGAAGAAAAAGAATGGATGACTTGTGGCTTTCATAAATATCAACTTTCAAGGTTCACAGTGATGATTTATCAATATTACTGCCATGTGCAATTATTTCATATAAATCAAATTTAATAAAGTCATATTCGCAGACTTTAGAGTTGAGTAGGTTCGGTTTCACTGGTAACACTCAGGCAACTATGGGATGCAAATCGTATAAATTGCTCGCCTTTGTCTGGCATCGCTTATAATGTAATAACTCGTAGTTCGGGCCACGTTTTATAGTCTAGTACTTTAATGCTTGCAGTACCAACATTCCCCTTTGTATTTTAGCCGTAGGAAATGCACGATAATTCGCTCTAGTCTGATATTTATTCATGCAGATGAAACACTCGACGTGAAAGCAAGTAGTAGATAAGTTCACGGTGGGTGACATTCGAATCTTGAAATGAGTAAATTTTTGTTTGCTTTACAAGTGTGAAGTGCTTCTTCTATGGAGAAATTTCTCTCGGTTATCGTGTGTCGAAAGCTTTTCCTAACAATATAACATGAACAAAGATAAATCAGCCTGAGAGAAGACAACGCTGATAAGGCTAAGAAGTAAATGACGTAAGGTCTTTAATATCAATGGTAATTTTAATAATGTGCACTTTCACTGTACCACGTAGAAGTCAAGAAATAATTTTGCGATTGATACAACGATCGTTTCAGTAAGCAAATATGTTTGTTATTGCCGTGTTCGTTGTGTTTTTTATGTTTTAATGTAATATTGTGTGAGGACAAGCCCGCAATTGATTACCTAGTTCATGAAATATTTTTCCACGTCGCACTCTCGATCCTCTTTTGTGGGGATTATTAATACTTTTAAATATCTAGAGGAACTTTAACTTAGGTGCACCATACACCAAGACTTTAACCTTGTGCTACTATTTCCTTTCTTCTAGTTAACTTTTGGATGCTTAAACTCAAATGTTGTTGCAGTGCTTAAGGGGCTTGGTAGTTGAGTCTGCATCACTAGCATATCATTCCACTCCATGTATTGCGTGCTGTGTTCTATAGCTGTGTTTTTACAGTTATTTTTATTGAGCAGTGCTACTAAAGCTAGTTGCTAGAACTGTGCTCCTAGAGTAGTGCTGGACTGCCCTACAACTATTGACCCGCCCGCATTACACATACATTTTTTTTGTTCGCATTACACATACATTTTTTTATAGAAATGTATTTTATAGAAAAATACACATAAATTTTTTTATAATGACTAATCGCCCATATCTCTGATAGATGCTTAAATCAAGAGCTTCGGATAATTAGCGTCTATAGCTCTGGTCCGCATGCTACAGTTTAGTACGACATGTCCAGGCTGTCACTGCGATGCCAGTAGCATGTTCTTTTGAATAATTTGGTAATTGAATCATTTAAATCACATAAAAATCTGTTTACTTCACTCATTATAACTCAGTGTTTAAATGGGCCGCCGATTTCGAGTAACTCATGCCAGCAAAGAGCTGCGGTACAAATCCTCTTATCTGCTGCCTGTTTCACCTGCTGGAGTAGAAGCATAATATGAAGCTAATATCATATTCTAATAAGTTGCTTTTCATTAAAGTTTATTTTATTGGAATTATGTGCATTATTTTTTATTTCATTTTCTCTAATGACTGTGTCACCAATTAATATTTTTACGGCGTTTCCTTGCACATTATCTTGTCAGGAATTGATATGAGCTTCAAATGTCGTCTCAACGTCTGCGCATGGCTTCTCAATGCCTGCATATAAGAATCTATTAGCCTGTTATGCTGCTTAATCGATGGCTGAATGGTGAAGGCTAGGATTCAGGTACTCGTGTTGGCCCTGTGGTTAAGATAAGACAGGTTGGATGGGTGAATTGTGGATTCTAAACTCCACTAGCTGTGAAAATTTTGGCAATTTTTACTATCGGCAAAAAGGCCAGAAATGGTCACTTTTTAATGTTGTTACCACTACAATATATCATATTATTAGACGAATATGTAAGCCCAGCTTTAGCCTTAAGCGTGGTATCTCACTCGTATCTAATGAAGTTATCTTGTACTGAAACTAATATGTGTCTTATGCTGATGTATCGCCTCCACCCTCAGCTACGACGTAGTGAATCCTGCACTCTCAATATTTGCTACAACTCTGTTGGTGTGCGCTGATGCATTGTTCATAATTAGCTAGTTGATGTACTATACCCATCATGTACCTGGTGGTCTCATTAGGTACTCGTTCACTATATCCATCATGTATGTAATCCTTTACTTAACAGCGTTGAGCACTCGTGTATCTGTTCCTGTGCTCCTTTAACGGGTTGTGTTTTATTTTACATGTGAAGCGGTAATTATTGTATGTACATAATAGTTATACTGCAGACTTGAATCTCTACTATTAACAGTACGATGCTGCCTTGCGCACGTTCTACTGCGTTTTTGTGGGCATTCTTCAATTGGGAGTCGTATTCAGGTTCTTGTGGAAGAGATGTTGCGCACGCCCGATGTGGTCAAGTTGAAATATTTCGTGACTTTATTATTTAGAATGATAAATACTAGAATTTTGCCATTGCTTTAATATTTATTTCTTCGTTTTGAATCCCGAGGTTGTTGTTAGGTTGGATTTCGTTGACCGTAAAGTCTTTGTGCAAAGATGATATTCATTCCTCAAGAAGGTGTGACAATAATTGCTTGCCGCAGAATGTTTATTGTGTTATGTTAAAATGTGTCGTATGTTAGCTCATTCGCATTCCATGGCAGACGCAAGTCATTATTTATAAAATGTTTGTGTAAGTCTCCTTGAAAATTTATTGTGAAAATTAGTCGTAGACGGCCCTCTCATTGGTCGAGTAGTTCAGTGCTGCAATATGGGAACAGCAGGTTGCGGGTTTGAACCCATTCTGCAGTGCTAGTCGTCGAGGCGGTGCTTACAGCGTATTCGTTCTTTTACTCCTAAGCCTCCCGCCCCTTGTTTGGGGTTAATGATATGAACATTTTTTCGATCATTGAAATTTTTAACTTTGCTAAATATGTTTATTTTCTACCTCCGGTGTGAAAGCACTATTAAATAATTCTACTACTACTACTTAAGTGTTCTACTGATTGTATGGTATCCAATTCTGTGTAGCATGGCTATATGTTCAAAAATATACCAGCGCTAGATTATCTTTGCATAGCGCGACATCGACGAAAATGTAAATATTATTCGAAATCGTAGTTTTCGCTTCATGAAGTTTGCAGATACCCTTATTTGAGCATGCATTTCAAAGGACACTATACATTCTTCGCGGTCGCGTCTTCTATCTGGTTTACTTCATCTTGGCTACTGTCAATGACGTGCGAGTCGCCAGTGTATTGCTCGCCTATTGGACAAACTGAGAAATACTGATGACGTGATTACTTTTGTTGGGTTTTAGGTGTGGAAAAAATGGCATGGCTACCCTTATGTGTTTATAAGGCTTTAGAGTCGAGGTAATGATTTGTAACGTTTCTTAATTGAGGAGTCTGGTGGAACTAAATTTACAATAGCGACTTGTGTGTAATTGACTGACCGAGGTGATAAATTGTGATGATTGGATACTCTCTATGGCATCAACGACGCCCTTGAGCTTTCATCAGCTCTGCAGTTTTGTGATGACCATCACGTGAACTCGTTACATTTAAAGAGGTAAAGCTTGTTTGCTTTCTGCCATGTTATTTAAACCTTTAGTAAATGGCGGGCTAGAACGGCTTCAGCCGTCGATGCTGGTCAATACTTAAATGCTTTAAGCGTTTTAATCAAATTCCAACTAGTGGAATAGCACTTTAGTATTACGTGTGTAGTTGAATACTGGCAATGACTTAGAACCTAGTGTTTTTAACCTAGAGATCGTAATTATCTTCAGACATGTCAGGCCTCACGGCAAATGTGTGTGTTGATGGCCAGCTTATCTAGAATTTGGATATTTAATATGTTTAAGATACGTTTTTTACTATGGAAGAAGAAATTATTGGTCAAGTGCAAATGTTCGTGTTTTGCGGGAAACTGTTCTTACTTTTTTACAACACTTCTCTTTAACTTCACTTCTTGTTTGTTTGTTTGTCTGTCTGTCTGCTACAAATCTTGTAATCGAAATTTAACACACTTCTACTTATCCTATCGATCTGAAATTTTGCACACTTGTGTAAAGTTGGAGACAATACATGAATCAAATGTCAAAAAAATGATTTTAAAAAGTAAAAAATTTTTTTTTTCAATATTAAAAAAATTGAAAAAATAATTTTGTCAGCTACAAATCTTATAACTGATATTTGACACACTTTTACCTGTCTAATTGATCTGAAATTTTGCACACTTGTGCGAAGTCAGAAGCAATATATGAATCAATTAATAGAATAAATAATTTTGAAAAAAATTTATATATTAAAAAATTATATATTAAAAAATTAAAAAAATAATTTTTTTAATATTCGAAAATTAAATTAGAAATTCATTGTACATCTGTAAGATTGGAGACACTGGATTCTTTTGAAGTGTTGTCTTTAAAAAGTAATTTTTAAACGTATATTATTCAGGATGAAGATTCTTTCGAGTAAAGCTCACTTCTTCATTCTCTGTATGCGAGACACCATCTATCGCTATACATGCTGGGATGAGTCATTTATTTCCTAACGCTATTGCTTGATTCAGAAATCATACTCGCATATTAAGTCCATATTACTGCTTGCTTTTTAGAAGCTAAATGCACTTAAGGATAAGGGGCAACTTGCGTCCCTTACTGGTTAAGTTAAATGCAAAATTCATGCATCATTCCAATTGACGTGATTCACATCGTAAAAACCTCCTCAGAGCAGCTGATAATACTTATGTTCTCTAGGTCATGTGCGGGAAATAATTCATATATCAGTAGTGTAGCACGAGAAGAAATCTTCTTGACCTATTTTCTTATTAACTTTTTCGTCAATTAGTAATAATTCGAGTTAAAACTTCACAGGAGTACGCTTAAGGTTAAATGTCAAAAGAACATCTACCGTAGAACGTGAATATTGGAATTAAACGTCAAGTCAATGGTCATGAATCAAAGGTTAAATTTTGCTAAAGGCGTTGGGTGTGGGTGCGAGAACAAAATTTGATGGATGCGAGGGTTGACGATTTGTCAACATGCCTAGGTTAGATAGCTAAATTGGGGGAGAAAGGAGTTTAAGTGGCGTTTATCATCTCCGCTGTAGCACTTACTGTACATTGGCTAGCATTGCCCCGTTTGTTTATTGCACTAAACTCAGTTAAGCACGTCTCTTGCAGCTCAGAAGGAACATAGCCTTATTGCTCTTTACTTAATATACAGGAATAAAAAAATACATGAATGTCCAGTGCATTTAATTTTTCTTTCCTTGATGCTGAAATCCACTGCCAACTCTTTGGAAATGTTTGAAATGAATGAATGGAGTAATCAAGTAACCAAGTTATCCTTCTCCTTGCTGTACATATATGTACATTAATGCTACCAATTTAATACAGGAAAGCAATTTTTTATCGAGGGTTGGCAAGTCGCCACTAACTTGCAGTACAGAAAGTCTCTTTAGAGACATCGAACGGTATCGCAATTTTATAATAATGCAAAAATTAAAAAGTAAACGTAATGGTTTGTGTACGTGCAGCAAAGGTGATTACTTAAATTCAAGTAAAGAATATTTGTACAAGGTCACTATTGCAATCTTATTGAGGTGTCAACTCCAATTATTAAATACGATCTGCCCATTATCATCCTCTAGGTCTTGGACTGTATTTACACAGGCTGACTATACATATCGCCTAAAAAAACAGACTGCCATCAAACAGTCATGAATCTAGTTCAAGGATTTGTTAGGTCACAACACTGCGTGGTGCGGCGAGTTCGTTGAAGGTTGGAGTCGGGCAGGTCTCTGTAGGGACGCTCTTCAAACAACAGCTCGGGTCTCACCACCACTCCTGGCAAAGCAATGGTAGTCAGCTATGCCACTGCAATGAACATGCCGCCCTACAGTAAAACCGATAAAAAGCTGTTGGAAATACTTTTATTTATATTTTGTAATGCAATAAATGAAGAAATTGTTCAAATTAGATTAAAATATTTAATTTAAATTAAACATTAAAGTAAAATCATATAAATTAAGGTTGTTGGATTGCTGTGTGGCGACTAGAGTGAGTAGGCCACTCGTAAGAACTTTATGGTAAGTGTTGGCATTGTTCATAGGGCAATAACATCTTTGCCCTCTGAAGTTGCAAATTTGTTTGCAATAACTGCAACATGATGAAATAATTATTTCTACGCCACTCAAGTGAAAACAAAACACATTGAAACCGTAATTTTCTTTTTCTTAACACTAACGAGTTATTCAGAATGATAACAGCTGGCAGCCTGGCACAAAACACGGGAAATTTTTTAAGATTAAGTTGATCAACCTGGGTAAGAATATATGAGAGAGCTCAACAGGAGTATCAATCAAATGTCACATATAAACTCACTGTATTTATCATCTTGCTTTTGCTCACACTGGACTATATTTTCCTTGAGATACAGCGCTGCTTCATCACCTGTCTGCAGCAGCTGCACAGAACAGATGGGATATTTTAGATTTTCTAAATATTTCAGTTTGGATGCTGACTCGATATTATTGGAGGCATTTTATAAGATTCAATGGAAGATATGAACAATGACTGCACCAGCATGTGATTAACGTAATTCCTTTTTGACAATTGACACTTGAGTACATTAAATCATCAGTATCATATAAGTGACATTATTTAGCAAACTCTATATATACATTCCTTGCTGCATGGAGATGTACTGACCGCTGCAATGGCTTCTGTGTCAGTAACATGCTTGTGTTTCACAAACTCTTGATTAATTGACAACCTCATGGCTGAGGAGGAAAAATTTTTTAATAATTAAGTCTTAGATATCAACTTTTTAAAATCTAAATCTAACTTTCAGAAAAGAAAATTCAATGAAAGAATATAATATGTATGACAAATAGTATTGACAAATGTAGCTTCATCTATTCTAAACAAAAGTAATGATTGTGTCATGAGTGAAAATTTCAGGATTTGCACTTTCTGCAAAGATTTTCATATGTAATCCCAATCTATTGTTGCCTCAAAATACCATGTTGAGGTATTTAGACTACTTTTACAATGAATAACCAACAAGGTGGCAACTTTTTTTAGACACTATCTTGCATATAAAGCTCGAGTAAAATTCACCCAATAAATGTTTCACAAACTCTATTTCATGTACCTATTATCATTGCAGCTAAGCTACCTACCCTGCAGGGCAACCTCATCTCCCTGGAACACAGATTGGCAGGTGCGGTGAAGGTTTTTGAAGCATTTTAGAACCTGCAAGAAGAAAAAAAATTGAAGAATGTACATTGTACAACAACAAATTTTTTATCAGTTAAACAATGATATATGTACATAAATATAATGATGCCAAAGTCAATTTAATCATAAAAAATTGTTTATGAAGTATACTAATGTTTTTTTTAAGCCTAAAATGTGAACAAGTATTTTAAAATATAATGAGAAAATTAGAAGGTTAAGAAGCAAAAATTCATTTCATCTTAACCCTTTCACGGGCAAGTTACCATATATGGTCACTTGAAATTGCCTCACAAAAAGACCCACTGCAGCTTCCTGTTAGTGTTTGAAGCTTCTTTATCATGCCTCAGTCAATCACTAGTTATCTGATCATAATTCCATCTATAGCTGCACCACCTGCACCTACCATGCCCAAAAATAAAAATATGAACATTTAAATGAAAGTTTTGACTTGGAGGATGAAATTTACGCTCTTTCCGCATTTTTTAAAATGCCAAAGTATCAATATATAAACATGATTATTTAATGTAACTTGATTGAATAGAATTTTTATGTTATTAATTTTTCCATTTGCATAAACTAAATTTTAATTATAAAGAAAATATTTATGGTAGTGACCACCTTTAATAAACTCTTGTAGTGTGATTTAAAGTTTTTAAACCCTCAACATGCATAATTGTTAAAAATACAGACAAATAAATGTTTTGTATAATGCTTTTTACTTTCTTGATCTGATATCTAAAATATAAATTTATGGACATTTCAATGCTTGCACGCAAAAATGTTAATACATGACCAAATCCTGGAGCTTCACCCTCAGTCCCTTACTCAGTTACATGCCTGGGCCAGGACTCCAGGCTGTAAAGTAGGGCCCTTTCAGCTCGAGATATCGGCGTCTTTTCAAGCTCTCCATCAGCCACCTCGACCTTAAATCGGCGTCCATGGCCGATCATAAACTATGGCTTGGGCAGCCATGACCGATCATAAACTATAGATGGCTCAATCACTGAATCAGCCCCGCCACAACGCGCATCTTCAGCTTGTTTGATTGCTTGTATCTGTCACCTGATCACAATGTGCAAACGTCTGGCGCGCCCAATGCTACTGCTGAAGAAACTTTTCAATCTATTGTGGTCTAACTCGATCTATTGTGTTCTAACGTAATCTATTGTGTTCTAACGTGATCTATTGTGTTCTACTACAATCTATAGCGTTCTAACGCGATCTATTGCGTTCTACCGCGATCTATTGCGTTCTACCGCGATCTATTGCGTTCTACCGCGATCTATTGCGTTCTACCGCGATCTATAGCGTTCTACCGCGATCTATAGCGTTCTAACGCGATCTATTGAGTTCTAACGCGATCTATTGCGTTCTAACGCGATCTATAGCGTTCTAACGCGATCTATTGTGTTCTAACGCAATGTGTTGCGTTCTAACGCGATCTATAGCGTTCAAACGCGATCTATTGAGTTCTAACGCAATTTATTTTGTTCTAAACTCTATACATAATTTAAATCACTTTTCCTGTTAAGTTTGTGTACTTACATACATTAAAATACAATTTTTCAAGTGTACGAATATTTATTTCCCCCACTGTACATATTTAAAGGTTATGGTCAGCACTGTTACTTTTGTAGAAAACTGCTATGAAATTGAGCATGATTTCACAGAATTATATTTAATACGTACTAGCTTTTTTCTCGTGAGTGCCCTTTGTCATGACTAGTTGTTGTGCAACAAATTTTTGATGTATGGACATGAGATGTACAACTTCAGCACTCACTTGATGACTTAGAGAGGATTGTCAATCATTCTTTGAATTTCAATTAATATTTTGAAAATATTCTTCCATGCATTTCCTTATGTTTTTAGATCCTTTTATTGCACTGAATGGTTATTGTATTTAGTTTCTGAAAAAACATGCACTGTGATACTTTGATTTACAGCGCCTCTACTTGCAAACTTGCCAAGGTACAAACCAGAGCTTTGAGATTTTTTTCACCTCCATGTATGAACATGTCTCTGTTTGCTAACCAAATTTCAGAGTTTACAAAGCAATTTGATGCTATACTTATTTATTTGTGTTAGTACGGTACACATTAAATATTAATATTGTTTCCACATACTAAATTTCCTCACATGAACCCAGTCAAAGAATGAATTCAGTCAGCATGTTCAGGTACCTATCACTGTAGGTATATAAATGTTCTTCATTGGCTTCATTGGCAAAATATTTTTGAAAGAATACTAATATATTTTTTCCTATAGATAATCTCTTGTGTAAAATATTGTTATAACTTCTTTCTATTTCTTATTTTTTTAAGGTACCACTAGCAAGTTTTGTATATAAATTATGTATTTATGATGAATTTCTTTTGCAGGTTTCCCTACAAGCAAGTCATGAAGTGATGCCAGGCTAAAATACCCATATCCTAGTCACCAACACTTAGGGTCCCTGTGATATATTTGGATGATCTATTTACTCCAGCTAATATGAAAATTCAATGGAAGTAATACAAAACAAGTGTTGACACAAGTCTCTGCAGTCAAGACAAGATGGGGATGGGACCTCTCACTTTTGAGATTGTCCTGACATTTTTTATAGCAGCATCTGTGCTGTACCGCTATGGCAACTGGTACCGGCACCACATCCTTGTGACTGTGGCTGTGCTTATTGCATGGTACTTCTCCATGCTTATAGTCTTTGTACTCCCCATTGATGTGTCAAATGTAAGTTTGAGTTCTGTCTTTAAAATTCATGCTTTGACTGTTGTGTCACTTGGAATTTTATCATCGAGCTTAATTAAGGAATTTGTATTGCAATTTTAACTGATTTAGTTTTAAGGAAGTTGTCCATCTCCCACGATGTTTACAGTTTCAGAAGATTATTGGTCAACGTTTCTGGTGAATAATTCTTCATTAATAAGTTCAGCTACCAATAAAAATGCTGATTGTGATTATTTTATGCTAAATGCAAGTAGGTATATTATTTTCATATTATATCTGATTCTTTTCTTCAAGCTTATGATTATCATCTCGTGTGCAGACAATATACGAGACGTGTGTTGAGGATGTGAAGGTGTCCCAATCCTCCCCTACGCTCACCAAGCAAGCAGAGGTCACAGTGCCTAGCGTGTTGTCTAAAAGCATAAGATCCCCACTGAGTTCTGCTTTAGATGCTCATTGGACCAACTCTAAATGGCACTCTGTGCAACGCAGATCTTTGCCTCTCAGTGACCAAGTTGGTAATCTTCCCACAAGGCTACCTCTTCTAGTCCCTAATAAACCATCAATGAATTCCTTGCAAGTGAAGGCAAGTGATGTGAAGCCTTCTAAGCTGCCACCTCCTGGTTATGATGACCAAAAGGTGTTATCAGATGCTTTGCGTCAGATGCTCAGTGGCATAAATTCTTCTGGTGCTCACAATGCTGCTAGTACCCCAAACAATCCTGTGGATGCTACAAAACCTGCAATAATTATCCATAAAGCTCTGAACACAACTGAGGCAGCTTTGGAATTGAATGTCAATGGATCCGCAAACATCACGAATGATTCAGCAGATAACTCTACGACACTGGATTACCATGAGGCTCCAGTTTTCCGCTGTAAAGAGCCATGGAGTCGAGTCAAGCCTGGTGTCTTCCCAGCTTTCTGGCGTGTCATCTATTGGACATCCCAAGTGCTTACATGGCAAGTTTTTATGCCACTGATAGGGCATCTACTAATGTGCATGTACTGAAAATGGCAGTTATGGGGGTTCTCATTTATGTCTTCTGTGTATCCATGACCATGATGTACAACTAAGAACTCTCTGATGCCAAGAATAGTTTGCAAAGAAATATCTCAACTGATTTTTAATTGCAAAAAAATTGTAAACCTGATGTTGCACTGATCTCTACACTGACCCTTATATTTGAAGTCATTCCAACTACTTTAATCCTTTACTTTGCATACTGAATTTTATTCATCAAACAATTTTTTAATTAAATACTTCTATGCTATAAGCTGTATATATACTACAAAGGATATCTGACCCATATACTTGAACCTGCATGCTTCAAGGGATATACAGAATGTACTGATATATTCAATAATTTACTCTGTACACTCCAGGCTGGTGTTACCGCTGATGCAGTCCTACACAAAGGCAGGGGAGTTTACCGTATGGGGGAAGCTGCGTTCAGCTCTCATTGACAATGCTATATATTACGGCTCCTACCTGCTCATCGTTGGCGTCTTGCTGCTGTACATCGCCCTCCGACCTGATGTTTATTTAGACGGGTCAGTCCAGTCAATTTCTCTTAGTGATGTGGTCAAGTTGATGATACTTCTGTCTCCAACTTATCGAGGCATTTTTCATGTTGTGAAGACATCTGCAGTGGTAATATGCTTAATAAGCACGTGTCTTACAAGTCTGAGATGATGGCCACGACTACCAGTATTAATTTTATGGATGTAGTTCTGCCGGCTGCTGCTGCTGCTGCTATGGTGCATTCCTTTGATTATTAATTACATCACACCTCAGCAGTGTTTTATTACAGCTGTGTTGCATTACAGTCCTATTGTGCTATATCTGCACTGTATTGCAGCAGTTTACTATTATTCCTGCATGAACGTATCAGGTCGCTGCTGCACGCCATGGCAGCAAGCGTGCCGAACAGAGGAGGACTGTTCTGGCTGGTGCTGCTGTTGTTGTAGTATATTAAATCTGTGTCATATTGTTATTGTTTGATTCTCTTATCAGGTCGCAGCTTCGCGCCATAGCAGCAAGCGCGTCCAACACATGGGGACTGTTCTGGCTGGTGCTGCTGCTGGGGTACGGGCTGGTGGAGGTGCCACGGTGGCTCTGGAATTCCGCCTGCCCTCAGTTCATGCTCAACCAGGGATACTTCAGGAGTGCCAAGTTGTCCCATGAGCGAGCTGAGGCCTGGGACCATCTAAACGACCTGCTGCAGGTGCGTGTCGGTCCTGGGACCACCTCAACGACCTGCTGCAGGTGCGTGTTGGGGCCTGGGACCATCTCAACGACCTGCTGCAGGTGCATGCCGATCTTGGGAGGTTGATGAAGAAAGGCAACTGTTGCATTTTTTTCTATTTTAAATTTCAATCAGTCTCTGTACTGTATTCCCTTCTCTAAACCTCGATAATCCAGCTTTCAACTTGACAATTCAATGTTTTAAGATCTTTAAAAATTATAAAATACAGCTTTCAGCCTCACAGTTGCGTTGAACTTGAAGTATCTTTAGCCAATACCTGTAAAAGATTGCCTAATAAACCTAATTTTTTCTTTAGCCTTACAGTCGTCTTTATTACGTGCTCCCTCTGATCTCCCTGCCCCCTCCTCAGTCGCTCCAGAGCTTGGGGGCCTGCATAGGGGGCAACCACCCTCTCCGCCCCCATCTGGACACCGTCGAGTCTCGCGTACCCGCCGAGCTGCTGGACCGCATGCGGCGCACTGCCCCCCATGACGCCCCCCACGCCGACGTGCCCTCTGAGAAGGCCTTGGTGCGCCTGCACAAGCAGGTGTGTAGCGTGTGCTCTGCTTGTTGGGGGTGTTGAGTGTGAGGCCGTTGTGTCGTGCGCGTGTAGGTGATGACTGCTGCAAATATATTTGAGGCGTGAATTAGGCTAGAGAACAGCGATTGAGTTTGATAACACCAAAAGAGTCTCCAGAAACTGTCAATGGTGAGCCTCCGTCTCAGATGTGGTCACTGCGTGTACGTAGGAGCAATGAGTGCCCCATTCGCCGTGCTTTTAAGAGCATCGTTGGAGTGAAACCTTGCAGGCTTCCTCAAGATGGCACTGAAAACAGCAAGATGGAGTTAGTTCGATGGCTTGGTCAGTTCATGGAGGAGGCTGAAGTACGTTATAAGGGATTACTTGGTTTACGACGTGCTTGTTCGAAGTAGGTTTATTCTGACCCACCTGAGTTGTTCTGACCCACTTTGTTTCAGTTGCTGAAGGCGCTGCAGCACCACAACCGCGTGGAGACGCAGTGGGCGCTGATGGTGGAGCGGGTGATCTTCCTGGAGGACGCGCAGCGCAACTCCTGCTCCCACGACACCCACTTCAAGCACAGCACACCCAGGGACCGCGCCCAGTGGGTCAACTTCGTCTACACACCCACTCTGGGTGAGCACACAACAGCCGTCTTGTGTACACATCACGGCCAGCTTATTTTTAGCATATCACGGACAACTTATGTACAAAAGAGTCTGTGGCCACCGGCCATTAATGGCCATCAAGACTGGCTGTGGCCAGTGTTTTGACCTTCCGTGCATCATTTATATACCACATCATTTACCGTCATTTCACACATCACTTATACCGAATTTTTTGCCCTTTCTCACATCATTTATATAGGTACCTCGTAATCCACCACTTCATTTACCGTCATCTCACACATCACTTGTACCGCAGAGTGGATGTGGGTGTGCCGTGTGCGGGGCTGGCTGCTGCGTGGTCTTGCTGTGGTCGCGGCTGTGGTCAGCGCCGCGGTCGTGTGGTCCGAGCTCACCTTCTTCAACCAGCATCCTACTCTGTCCATCTTCGCCATCATCGTCAACCTGGCCAAGTCTAACTATGACTACATCACTATTGAAGTGAGTCCTGCATCACCATTCATCACTACCATACTGTAAAACGCTACATTAGAGCGCTATTAAATATGAAGGTATTTCTCATTTAAGGGCTTTTAGGTAGGAATAGCATTGACGACGGTTAATGTGTCCGCAGACAAAGGTTTGAAATATTATGATGACATTTGCGTGACAATTTTGAGTATCAACTTTCAATCTTATTTCAATTCTAGTTTACTTACTTCTTATTTAGTGATGCAAGCGATTGTGCTGTGAACAAACCCTCCTGGCAAATGCCCTTGAAACAACGTTGATTTTGTTGAAGTTACGTCAAATCAAGGAAAATTCAGCATCTGATACCTGGCTGGAACAACCATTATTATCTGGGAACTTGCTTCTTATCACAAAACCTCTCGTAAGCTGCCGCTGCTTCAATACAAGATTGTTCAAATGACTTGTAACTAACTGATGGTTGCACTGTACAGGTCATCTCCACACTGACGATGGCGTACATCGCTCTGTGTGCGTACTCTACGCTTTTTGCTGTACGTGTACTCAACTTGTACTATCTGGCGCCGCACCACCAGACCGACCAGTACAGCCTCATCTTCTCAGGCAAGATGTACAATATAATGTGTGTTGGTCAGAATTGGTTATATCGGTCAGAATTTGTTTTATTGGTCACAGCTCGTGAGTTTGAAGCTTGGCGTCGCAATATATTGGGTTGTTGGGGCGCCTGCACCCGAAAATTTACATTTGGTGAGAGAAAAAGAAAGGAAGGGAAGGATCAGAGGAAATGGAGGAAAGGATTGGATCAAAAATCAAGTTATGGTTCTGAAATCGATGAACATAAATTTAATTCAGAATCAAAAAATAGAGAGTGAATTTATATCACTTGTTTGCTTAAATCGCAAACTAAGAATTTAAAAGCAAAGAAAAGTCCACAAAAATTCATATCTTTATAGAAAACGTTCTTCGTTATAGAACGTTAGATTCTACGTTACGTTATAGAAACCTTAGATTCTACGAACTGACGATGGAGCTGGTCTCTGAAACGTTTTCTATAAAAGTAATGAATTTTTGTGGACTTTTCTTTGCTTTTAAATTCTTAGTTAGTTAGTCAAGAGTAATAGTTTTTTTTCGATATATTGAATTAGGATTAAAATGGGACCTCTATATTCTGTGTAAAATATGGGTTTGGACATGATTTATCTTCTTTATTTAGCGTATACACTAGCTTTGACATTATCAACATGATTCGGTATGACTGGATTCTAAATTTGCAGAAATTGTTCATCTTGGCAACCCTAGGCTAACCTGATTGATCCATTACATAATAAGTAGCTACCTAGTTCATATGTTTCTTTACGATGGAGAGCCTGCGTCATCCTGCCTGCACGCTGTTATCCTTTGCAAAGTGTACCCCTCAGGGGAGACTACTGACGGGTGTCTATTCTCGTGAGAAATTCTATGGGATTTCGCGCTCATTGTTCCGGAGCGCCCCACCGCTGAGCTCTCGGTGTCTGTCTGTTGGTCTAAGTTGTATGGGTAAGTTATTGTGTAGGTAGGATTCCTTACATTTTCCTTCTCTGTCTCTCTCGTGCGGGCGGCCTACGTCCCGTGTAAGCGACCTCTTGTTCCGATTGTTTTCGTTCCTGTTGCTTTTCACCTGTCCCTCCTTGTCTATTCGTCTCTTTTGAGATGCTAATACTGCTTACTCGAACCAGCTTCAGCGGCCTGGACAATTGAGACCTTCCGCTTCCTTTGGGTGATGAACAATTTTTGATTTGAGAATCTTTCAATAACTGAGACCTTCCACCTCTTTGGTGATGTTTATCTTGACTTTCGGTGCGAGAGAGCTAAATAGCTGAAGCGCTGGTAAACATATGGCCACTAAACTAACTAACATGGAAAGTGTAAAGAATTATGAACAGGTATGAAGTTACGTACGTTAACTGGTATGATGCCTATATTAACAGGTATGATGCCTATATTAACAGGTATGATGTTATACTAATAGGTATGATATGCTAACTGGTATGATGTTATGCTAACAGGTATGATTTTATGCTAACAGGCATGATGTGTTATATTAACAGGTATGATGTCATACTAACAGGTATGATGATATGCTAAGAGGTATGAGGTTTTGCTAACCGGAATGATGTTTTCTAACAGGTATGATGCTGTGTCGCCTCACGCCTCCCATGTGCCTCAACTTCCTCAGCCTCATCCACATGGACTCGCATGTCATCAGTGTGCACACGCAGGAGACCCACTACACGCAGGTGAGCTACACGCATTTGTGGTGTTACATGCAGATGAGTTTGGGGGATTACATTCATTAAATATTCAGGTGTTACATGTTTTGCATGCGTATAGCTGCATTGCAATAATATTTTGATCCTAGCTATCAAGGATGATTTTTATTATGTTGGCTGGCTGCAATATTGAATCAGCCCCAGCTGTGGTCAGCTCCAGATTGGCGCTGCATGTTGGGGGTTTGGACCCCGGCAAGCTAAAAGCTTTCCGCTTAGTTGCTTGTGGAATTGAAGTCGTACTGAAAAAACTTGCTGAAGTGCACGTAGTGGCTTGAGTATACATTGTGTCCTATGTACGCGTAGCAGCAGACTTCTTTTATGATTGGCGGGTATAGCTAGAAACGCCGCCATTGTTATGTTGATGGAGTTACAAACTCATAAATATTCATGATATTAAGGGTCTTGGTGTCCTGAACAGATCATATGATGAGCATGTCCCTCCATCAGATCATTGGGATCATCGCTGATGGTTTCAACGTGTTCTTCCCAATGATTATCATGTCACTCCATCAGATCATGGGCCATATGGACGTCATTGGGATCATTGCTGATGGTTT